ATTAAAGAAACGTAACGATAGTATACGTCAGCAAGTTGTTCCTAAATTTCAATTTTAATAAAATTTATAATTATTTGCGACTTGCGAGAATTTTTCTACAGCTGTCCATTTCAACTCATCTAATTTTATTGATTAGAAATAGCTGTATGGCTAAATAAAGCAAAATAATCTTTTTGATTTAAAATACAAAAATCTCCATTGACAATATTCATGTGTAGAGCAATAAAATAATCGAGGAAACTGCTTTTCACGGCCGAAGCGAAGTATAGCGAACAATAAACAAACCTGTTATAAACTGTGAACCTCGTTGTGAACAAAACAAATAAACTTGTTATCAAGTTGCTATAGCAAACGGCAAATATCAAGTTGCACCAAGCCTGATTTTAACGACTTGCTTATCAAACTTGTCAGGACTTGTTAGCCACAACCATGCTGCAAATTGTTTGAACAACTTGCAGCAAGCCTGTAGATAACAACTTGCCGCGAGTCTGATTTTCTCAACTTGCATCAACATTGATGTGCTCACAGACTTGCTGCAAGTTGTTCCATCAGACTTGTTAAAACTTGATATCGACAGACTTGATTCAAGTTGATAAAACAAGTTGGATCAAGTCTGCAAGTGACAACTTGCAGCAGGCCTGGTTTTCTCAACTTGCATCAGCATTGATGCGTTTATCAGACTTGATGCAAGTTGTTCCATCAGGCTTGCTGCAAGTTGACATTTGCAGACTTGATGCAACTTGTTTCATCAACCTGCATCAAGTCTGCAAATGTCAACTTGCAGCAAGCCTGATTTTACTGGCTTGCTGCAAGTTGATGACGTCAACAAGCTTGCTGCAACTTGTTGACAACTTGCAGCAGGCCGGTAAAACCCGCAACTTGCAGCAAGTCTGTGGCGTTTATGGCTGTGTACGACTCTTGTTATTCCGAAAGATGTTCATATAACACGAGAAATTGCCTCTAGGTGGAATTTCGTTTCAAAACATATACCAGTCAGACTGGTTAAAATTTTTAATACTTGATGTGAAATGGTTAATATTATATCCTTTTAACGCAAGTGGTAAAATTTATATGCATTCTGATTCGGTTACTAAAATTGTAAATAAACATATGGTGATTGGACTAGAGCGAAATTACCTCTTGTCCTCTTGGACCTTTATTCAGAAATTATTGCTCCTTTATTAGGATATTTATTCTAGGACCTTTATTCTAGGATCTCTCCTATATACTAGGACCTTTATTCAGAAATTATAGGCTCGTTTTCAACAGCAAAATGGGATGTTTTCCGCCAGCACAAATTGACGGAAGTCTATTAAACCTTAGTTATTCATGTTATATACCGGAATTTTTTTAAATTACTGAAAGATAATGAACAATTTCTCCAGGTGAGGCTTGCTGGTGTAGTGGTATGATTCTCGCTTTGGGTGCAAGAGGTCATGGGTTCGATTCCCGTGCAAGCCCTGATTGCCCTCAAAACTTGAAATTTTTTCGGGATTGAGTTTCTTTCTTTCAAGAAAAAAAGCAGTGTTGAACTCAAGTTGCAATCTCCCGATAAAACTTTTCCCATGCGGTATCAATCCTATCAATATACATTCAAGGAGGAGATCTAGTATAAATGTAGACGTTGTAGACATGTCAACAATGAAGACCTTATCAATCATCATATACAAGTACTGAACAACAGGAAAATGAATTCGTGCGACTTTTTTATGGTGCTTTTTTATGGTTTCGCAAACGTGAAATGAAACGGCCACGAAATTCCACTTGCATAACAAAAGTCGTAGTCGGCAGGATTTGAACCTGCGCGGGAATATCCCAACAGATTTCGAGTCTGTCGCCTTAACCACTCGGCCACGACTACATAATTGCCTGTTGAACCGCAATGATAAAAAAGCACAATAAAACACAAGTAAGTATTATAGAAATTGATTTCCAAAAGAACGAATCGTAAACATTGTTCACTATTGTTACAAAAATCCAATCACAAAACTCATTTATATTAGGTAGATACTTATTGAGTTTAAGTGGAAAATGTGAAGAGCCTCGTCAGAGATTCGAACTCCGGACCACTCGTTTACTAGACCAGTGCTCTGACCACTGAGCTAATGAGGCACATGGAAAAACAGTCGTGGACACTGTTGATATAACTACATTGATGCAAATTCTTAGCTCACAATGCAACACAGTATTCTTATTAGGTTGATACTTAAATTAAGTTGAGAGAATGCATCTAATGTTGGAACGGGAACACGTACCACTTTTTTCACAAGAAAATACAGCTTAGTCATTAACTAGACCATTGGCAAATTGTTGTTAAGACCGTTCTCTTTCAAGCTAGACGGGCAAGCAGGCCATGGTTTATGGGCCCAGCACGCTTCCACTGCCACACCCTGCTTGCTACACACTGCTTCTATGCCATGGATATATACACAGATCTGTATTTTCCTTTATTTAGTTGTGCTTTTCCGAATAAGTTAAGAAGAGCGGGAAATGTTCTTACAGGTATCTGAGAAAATATCAGCGCATGCCGGTATGCACGATCGGGGAGTATAGTTTTGAGTTCAGGCTTTTCTCCTACACTCCATTTAAGAAAAATTACATTTCTGAACAAAAAATGACACCTAGAATGTGCACTGAAAAATATTTTTATTGAAATGACAACTTTAGCGGGAAATGGTTTCGATCCATTGACCGTCTGGGTAATGGGCCCAGCACGCTTCCACTGCGCCACCCTGCTTGCTACACACTGCTTTTATGCCATGAATATGAAACTTGTGCTATTTCGAATAGGTAAGAACAGCAGGAAATGTTCTTTCAGGTACCTAGGAGAATAGCATTACACAGGTATGCACGATCGGGGAGTGTAGCTCAGTGGTAGAGCATTCGTTTGCAGATTGAGAGGTCAGTGGTTCAACTCCTTTCGCTCCCTTTTTTTTATAAATGAAAAAAAAATCCAACATTTTTATCGTACTAATTAGTGAATTACTAGAATTACATGCATGCAGCAACCCCTCGCTATTTCAAACCAAGTGCACAATTTCCTGAGTTAACCTGACCTAAATTTTATATTATGAAATGACACAAAACTCAAATCAGTCTTAAAGTTTCCATCATTCAATACAAAAATAATCACAAAGCTAGTGTAAACATTGCCCGTTCAATTTTGCTGCATTATACCATGCCAGCAATTAGGTAACAGTTTAAAATCGAAGTTTCAAACGATTAAAACAGTACAAAATCTTACAGACAAAGAAAAAACTTCAAATGTTATTTTATTCTGTAATTGCAGTCAACGCCGGCGGCTAAAAGTTTCAGTATACTTTATAAATATAGTGTGTATTTTTGATACCAAAATTCAAATTACACTTTCAAAAACACTCTTTGAAGTTAAAGCAAAGGTGTAATAGCCCTTCACAGGTTTATGCGTTTGCAGAAAAAGCTGAAAATTTAACAAATGAACGGCATACAAAGCCGAAAAGTATACAAATACGGCTCATTCTTATCGCGAAACAAATACGAAATAAACAAAGTAAACACGTACCCTTTGTCTTTGAAAACATTTATAAGTTTGCAGATTATGAATTATTCCTCTTACACGGCTTTGTCTTGACCGTATCCACGTTCATCTTTGCTAACTGTCATGCTTCATATATCTTGTTTCTTCTCGTTTTACTTTCTTTGCACAAAGTTTATCAAACGCTTTTACAAAAATGTTTACGAAATGACAGTTAATATAAATTGCTGACGTTCTCATTGAATTACAAACTTTCTGTCTTAGCCAATCAGAACGTTCGTTGATTACTAGTCTACACCAGTGAACAACCCAGTGAACTGGTCTACACCACTGAGCTATAATATAATTCCTGGAGGACCGGCTCGCCATCATCAAGTGAAGCCAAAAAGATTGCGGATTTTAGGCTTTGCTGACGCCACATGGTCCTAAATGGCCTGGGTAGTTACCGCTGACAAACCGCGATCCAAAGACAAAAAATAAGTCATCTCCCTCCTGGTTTTTGATAAAAAATACTTTTGGTTTTCGGTGAATAATTTTTTCCTACCTTTTTGTTTTTAAGATAATAAATTATAATTAAAATTGTTTCTTCGTTTCCGGGATTTCCCTGTTTTACAAATTATCGAAGCTGTGGTTTCTTGATCTACTTGTGATGTAGTAAATGTTTTATCGGAAGAGAATCAGGTAATCTTTTTGAAATATTTTCGTTTCTTCCGTCTGGACTTCAGTATATAACTAGTATACGACTCAAAATTAAAGCTCAAAGCCAGTAAGTCTATCAAAACTGCTGTTATGAAAAGCAAAAATGTTTGCCAACAACATATTTTGATTTCATAATTATTAATTCAATAAAAGTTTTATTGTTATGTTACAGTGAACTAGTTTTTTTATGTCAGCCTTTTTGGTAAATTTTCATAATGCAATTTTTTCAAACAGCCAAACTTTTAGGAGAATGTATACAAGTTATAAGTTTGTGGGTATGTGGCAGACTGTATATTTCTAGCTAAACATGACATACTAGTCACTTTATATTGATTTATTTGCCTGACCTGGCAGGGGTTCAGGCAGGTTATTTAACAACCACTGAGTCAGTGGAGTGGCAGTTAAAGCCTTATATTTTCTTTGACAGGATTTATCATGGTTTAATAGCTATAATTTCTGTACTTGTACTCACTTTGTGAAAGTGAGACTTATCAGGTTTCTCTTATTTTGCAGGAATATGATGATGTAAAATAAGATCTTCACTCGATTTAAATGATGAAATTATAATAATCAAACATAAAATTTTACAAAATATATCGCTTCCAAAATTATAGAAGTTCGTTCTAAACTCTCAACTCTACACAACACATGTTTCACGTCGCGCGTGAATCTCGCGAGTCCGTCTCGTTACGCTAATTATTACATACTCCCCACCTTGACAGATCAGAAATGTCTGTCAACCTAATAACTAAACAACCATAAATAATTTATTTCAGTAAGTACAGTTTCAGTCCGTATTCTCTGATTTTGCTCGTTCGACAAAGGTAATTGGAAACTCAGCTGTCACTTCACGTTCACTATCGTTCACTTCAACTGGATACAATCTTTGTACCGCTCTTCTTGTCGTCGCGAGTTTTCCAGCTTTATTGAACATCCTTACTGTCGCTGCTCGAGCGTTTCCGTCTCTTCCTTTAAGTAAACTTTCTATTACTGCGATGGGCCAATTTAATCTTTTAACATTGTCTTCCTGTATTAAAACGACGTCTCCGACCTTGATTTTTGGGCCGTCTTTCTTGCTTGGCTGATGTTGTTCACGCAGTTGAGTCAAATACTCCAATTTCCATCTTTTCCAAAAGTGTTTTAGGACATTCTTAAGATACTTCTCTCTCTTCAACAATTCGTTCTTTCCTTCGTCGTTTGCGTCGATCTCTACTTGCGTTGGAACCGTAAGTATTCGCTTACCTAACACCAAATGCGAGGGGGTTAGCGGTTCATCTTCATCAGAATATACATACGTTAATGGTCTAGAGTTCAGGACTCCTTCTACTCGAATTAGTAATGTCAGAAGTTCTTCGTAAGTGAGCCTAGCATTCCGCAAGACTTTCTTTAGACATCTTTTAACGCTTCTGACCATGCGTTCATAAAATCCTCCCCACCAAGGGGATTTTTCTACAATATATCTCCATTTAATACCCCTAGACGCTATAAAGTTCTTGATTTCTTTTCCCTTGAACGTTTTCCCATTATCCGAAATAATCAGTGCTGGGATTCCACGTCGTCCAATGAATCGCTCTAAACTTCTAACAAAAGCTTCACTTGTCATGTCCGGAACCAAATCTAAATGTAAAGCTCTACTGCTCGCACAAGTGTATAAGGATATGTAAACTTTGTGCATATCTTTCGATTGACTATACATGTCCTTCACATACATGGGACCTGCGTAGTCGACGCCAATCTTGGAAAATGCTAATTCGTTGCTTAAACGAAACTCTGGTAATGGTGGCGCTTCAGGATTACCGTAAGGTGGACCTTCTAATCGTCGACAAATTACGCATTTCGACAGGATTTTTTTCACGACCTGGCGACATTTCGTTATCCAAAATTTGGATCGAACTTGCGTTAGAGTTTCTCGAACTCCATTATGTATGAGCTGTTCGTGACTTCGAAGAACAACTAGTCTCGTAAAGTAATGATCACTTGGTAAAAGGATAGGGTATTTCGTATCGTAGGGTAAGGGTGATTCTTGTATTCGCCCATGGCATCGTACAATGTCATTCTTATCTTTGAACAAGTTTAAGGACTTCTTTACCTTTTCATAGTTTGCTTGCTTGGTCATTGGATACTGAATGTCTTTTATCCATTTTAGTTCTGCGTTGTCAATTTCTTCACAGGTAATCAAACCGAGAGTGGTATCAAGATTCTTTGCACGTTTCTTAAAATTGTTAATGAAGCGTAAAACATACACTGTCACTCGAAGTAATCTTACAATACTACTGTATTTCGAAACATCTATCAGTTCCATGATACTTGGATTTTGTGCAACATTAACGGCTGTTGTAATAACGCTTATTCGTGGAGACTTTAACTCTGAATCGTCTTCTTGAACATTACGGGGTTGAGATGGCCAATGTTCATTAGATTTTATTAGATATTCAGGACCGTTCCACCACAATTTGTTTTCTGCAAGTTGGGTCGCTGTTGTTCCGCGTGATGCAATGTCTGCGGGGTTTTGTTTGGTAGGGACGTATCTCCATAACTTTGGGGGAGCTAGTCTTCTTATCTCTACCAATCGGTTTTCGACAAATTGTTTGAATTCTTTGTTAGAATTTCGTATCCAACTTAGTACGACCGTAGAATCGGACCAATATGTAACTGAATCGATCTTTTTAACGTCATTCAATGCTTCCTTTACGCTTTTGGTTAACCGTGATGCTACGAGACTCGATAATAGTTCTAGCCGAGGAATCGTTTGTTTCGACATTGGGGCAACTCGCGTTTTTGAAGCAATTAAATCACAATGAATACCTTCCGAATGTTCACATCGAAGATAGACACATGCACCATAGGAACTTTCAGATGCGTCTCCAAATGAATGCAACTCGGCTGACTTAACTTCACTAGCAAATGCTTCTGGACAATAACATCTTTGGATACTCATGTGGTTTGCTTCTTTCAATTTCTGAACAATTTGAGTCCATTCTTGGCAAAATTCATCATTAAGTGGTTCGTCCCAGTCTACTTTACTCTTGCACAACTCTTGAAACATTTGTTTAAACCGAAGGGTTACTGGGGATATAAGACCTAATGGATCATAAAACTTTGCCGCAACGCTTAGAATGTTTCTCTTTGTGATTGGATTTTCTCAACGTTCTTCAAGGCGGCAGAAAAAATCATAATTAACGTGTCCGTTTGGGGGTTCCATACTTGACCCAAAACACGAGGATGGGAATTAAGTTGTTTGGATTCTAAGACAGACTTTGAATATCCTTGATCTTCTTCCATCACTGAACTCGGTAAATTGGATGATTGTTGAGGACTTTCTGAAAATTGTGGATCGTTTTGAAACTCTTCATCAACTCTTTACTGTTACTCAGCCACTTGCGCATATTTAAACCTCCTTCGGAAAATCGGGTTTTGATTTTCTTAGCTAACTCTAAGGCTGACTCTGTATCGTGTGATCCAGATGCAAGATCATCCACATAGAGGGATTTTAACACTTTGGTTACAAAGGTTAGATCAATGGTGGAATATTGGACAAGGTGATGATGTAGTACAGCATTCAAAATGGCTGGACTGCATGTGAGACCAAACACTAGTCGGGCAAATCTTAAAGTTACAATGTTCGGGTTTGAGTCATGAATGTCATCAATCCAAAAGAAGCGCAAATAATCTCGATGCTCTGGCGAGATAGAAATATTCAGGAACGCCTTTTCAATATCAGCGATCATCGCCACTTTATACGCGCGAAATCGAACCAGAATATCGAATATTAGGGTATTGAGAGAGGGTCCAGTGTGCAAACAGTCATTTAAACTCGTTTCAGGGCTTTTTGCCGACGCGTCATATACGACTCGGACCTTCGTTGTATTCTTATCTTCTCGGACAACCTCACGATGTGGTAAGTAATGAACTTTTCCAACTGGAACAAGGACATCATCAGCAGGTTCTACGACACCAGATTTGATTTGATCTTTTATTATATTGTCATATTCCTGTAGAAGATTGGGGTTAGCTTTCAATCGGGTTAGCAAAGAGTTTAACCGTTTCACAGAACCCACATGATTGTCTGGTAGTAGAGGGTGCTCTTCTCGAAAGGGTAGCTTAACTTCGTACTGGTTTCCATTAAAGCTTATGTCTTCCATGAACTTTGACTCGGTGGTAGGCTCGTTATCTCGTATTCCCAACGTTTCTAGATCCCACAGTTTTTGCAATTGGTCGTGCAATCGGTCGATTGGGGTTGTCGTAACTGGTTCGGCATCGATGCGAAGGACATGAGTACCATTGAGGTTGACGGAACAGCTGCGGTTTTCTTGATTCCCTTTGATCACGGGTCCAGACAGTACCCATCCAAGTCTAGTAAGGACAGCTACTGGACCAGGGCTCCCACCACGCTTTGTTGTGCCAGTTATAAATTTCCAGTAGTAATCGGCACCAATCAATATGTCCACTTGTACATCATCATCAGACATACTGGGTTGTCGGCAAGATTCAAACCACGAAGATGCGGGTATTCTTCAAGTGCTACTTTAATCGACTGATTGCTAATCGGACTACATATTGTAGGCACACTGTATGCATCCATCAACATATCATTCCTTCGGTATCTGTTATTGCAAACTTAACTCTATTGCATGTTAGGACTTTAGGGGCTTCGTCCCCGAAGGTCTTTATAAGTAGGTTTTCTGAATCAACCGTCTCTAAATTCAGGGTATTTCTGAGTCTGTTCGATATGTACGACCGCTGACTACACGAATCGAACACAATTCTAGCGTTATGCTTTCTGTCTGCATTACTTCCAACTTCACCCACTAAACCTTGAGCTGTCTGTAAAAGAACCGCTGTATTGCTCTCAACATACATAGTCGATGCTTCACTTTGGGTTTCCTGTCCATTGTCTGGTTTGGGTTTGAGCTTACAATCTTTCTGGCTTTGTTCAGGGTTATGTTGTTGGTCTGCCTCGCTTCCCGGGGCAGGGGGTTTACTGTCATTCTTCTCGCAGATTGATAGATGATGATGACCACCACACTTCTGGCATTTATAATGAGAATCACAATGTTTAATGATATGACCAGATCTCAGGCATAAGAAACATTTTCCCTTTTTCCTTAAAATTGCTCTACGGGCAGCTCTATCCGTCACAATAGGGCACGATGCTGATGTATGGTGCTCCGAACAATAACTACAGTAGGGCATGGTTGATGGACCTTTACTCGATAACAGGGTTGATGATGAATGGGGTAGTTTCCCTCTAAATCGCACTTTATTTTCAAATGGTTTGGATGAATTACGTTCTGACATGGTATTACATCTCTCTCTGGCTTCAAGTTCCAACTTAAACTTACGCAACAGTTGGTCAATGTTCCACTCATTCCTCTCTAAATTTCGGGCAACAATAAGGCGCATTTCTTCAGGGAGCTTATTGACAATAAGTGGCACAAGAAGGCTTCCATATGAGTTAGAATCTATTCCCAGATTTCTAAGACTTCTAATGTGGGTTTCAATTGAGTCGTACAGTTGACGAATTTTCCTGGTTTTGTGTATGTCACTCACAGCTGGTAAATTTAATAATTCTTCCATGTGACTCGATATGATGATATTGGGGTCTGCAAATCTATCTTTAAGCAATTGGACTGTTGATTCATAGTTATCTGCAGTTAGTGCAAAACCGTCTATAGCTGAAGCGGCATTGCCCTCGACCAAACTCTTCAGGTAATTGAACTTATCGATTTTGGATAGACTGTTATTATTATGTACTGCAGCTTCAAAACTGTCCCAAAAAGACTGCCATGATTTGGGATCCCCTGAGAATTTCTTTAATGACAACTTTGGTAGTTTAGCTTTAATAGCTGGAGCTAGTATATTAGTAGGACTGCTATTTGACACAGTTTGTGAATTGTTTGAAGACGGGGTTGCCATATTAATGTTCACCGGGTTCAGAGCATTATCTATCTTAACACATGCTCGATTGATAGACTCACCGATATCACTGGCTTCGAGTATCTCCTTATTAATACCTTCATCTTTCGTTGACTCCAATATAGCTTCGTCGATACTCTTAAGAATTTCTTTCTTATCTTTCAAAGTTACTTTGAGACTTTCTAACTTTTCTCTTTCGCTCGTAGATCCGCTAAAATGCTCGATAATTCCGTTGACACTCTCAATAAGTTTGCTAACGTAAGCACGATGCCCGCCACGTATTCGAATCTGTTTTTCACTCGACATTTTCAATTTTTATCCGAATTCTATCCGGCTCGAAGGACCATGATGTAAAATAAGATCTTCACTCGATTTAAATGATGAAATTATAATAATCAAACATAAAATTTTACAAAATATATCGCTTCAAAATTATAAGAAGTTCGTTCTAAACTCTCAACTCTACACAACACATGTTTCACGTCGCGCGTGAATCTCGCGAGTCCGTCTCGTTACGCTAATTATTACATATGATGCCAATTGGAAAAAAGGCAAGAGATGGCTTGCATCCTTTCATTCCTTTGTTCTGAAATATTGAATTAGAGCAAAATGCAATGTATCATACACATGAGCTGCTCATTGATAATGCCATATTGATTTAATTTTAACCTTTTTCTTACAGTTTAATTCAAATAAATGAATACAAACATTGACTCATTGTGTGGATTGTGTCTCAAATCAATAACAAGAAACCTTTCTTAAATAATTTCCTAAATCATCCCCCCCCAAGAGGGCTAGTTAATGGGGATAATTCAGCATAAGAGAGTGAATAAGCCCCATTTCATTGTGAAAGTTCCTTTGAAACATGAAATCACTGTAACTGCAGTAAAAGAAAACCTACACCAGTTGGTAACATATCAGCTATAAATTCTGAAATACAATTCTCAATATGTAGGGTACTAATCATTGTCACAATGGACAATATCACAGGTATTAGACTGTATCAAGGTGCATCCATGGTCAGGAATGTTAAATGAGCAATGCTATAAATCAAATATGACTGAATAGCTGAAATTGTATTTTCTGCACATAAAATGTTGATAAATGCATTAGAGTTTAGAAAACTTCAATTTATCTCCATAACAGATCCAAACAATTTCTGGCATACAAAAAGTTAAGAAATTCTTAGACGTTTCCTCTAGAAGTTCAAAAATCAATCGGATTTCATGCGGATTGTAAATATTAAACATGAATAAATCAATGAAACTCGGAAAAATGAAAATTACCGGTGAGGTAGTTGACGTTTTTTTCCATATTTTTTGAGGTTATAATACTTATTTGGCCTGGTATTGGTAAAAACAACGTGTACGACTTGTATACATCTTGAAATAATCTTTTTTCGTACTATAGTTAATAAAATATATCGAAAACAACAAGGTTTCGCACAAAATAATTTTTTTTCAAAAAATCCAGGAGGGGAATGTTTTCAAAGCAGGCTCGGATTTGAGCCTGGTCAGAGGTAACTACCATGGCCATTTAGGACCATGTGGCGTCAGCAGAGCTTCTACGCATGCGCAGAAGGGCGAAGTCCGCCATGTTTTCGGCTTCAAAAAGATGGCGGCGAAGTTACTGAAAAATGACGAGCCGGTCCTCCAGGAATTATTATATAGCTCAGTGGTCTATACCAGTGAACTCTAATAAGACTGGAACCATAACTCAACAATAAAGACTAGTCATTGGATGAAGCCGATTTGAATATAATTTGCTGATTAAGGCGGCAGCCGCGCGAGCAAATCAAGCCTTCAAAAGAACTGGGGAGAGTGAGAATTCCGTAAAAATCGTATTTTTTGGCAAAAAATTGCCAGAAAAGTGCAATTTTTATTTGACCACTTCAACTTTAAACAACGAATTTACCCTTTTTGGATAGACCTAAGTAATCCGCATCATCTTACTGTAAAAACCGGCGAGGTACCAGCTTTGTACTTGAAATATTTAAAGAATTTGAACGGGCCGAAAAAAAACTTCGCCTTCAACTCGCAAAAAAAATAGGTTTGCACCTTTTCACGTTAATAAAACTTGTTTTTTAGTAAAATCTAAGTGTCAATGCTTGTTTTAAGCTTTTATTCATGATCAGATGAGATGGATTTGTGTATAAAAACCGGCGTTGTTTTGGTGGTGTAATTTCAACTCTTGGCCTTCATGGCGGCCATCAGTGCTGGCTTCAAAGATGGCGGCCAAGTTATCGTTCCAGTCTTTTTAGAGTTCACTGGTCTACACTCGTTCGCATTTCACGCATGCGCACAAGTACCATGACCATTGAACGTCCACGGTCCACGACATAGAATTTGAGCAGCTTTGGATTCCGCTATGTTCTGTCACAATACCCGGGTGTAATAAATCTCCCAGCGGAATTAGTACCCTCGCACGGCGCTTCGCGCCGGCTAGGGGAAAAAACCCAAATTTATTTTCGTTGCAACAATCCGTTTGCTTGATAAATAATCCTTGCAGTTTAGTGTTTTTTCAATGACTCTCTGGGACACATGCATGTCCTATAAATTTGTAAAACGGGAGTCCAAATCTGGAATACAGCGAATATAATTACTTTATCTTGATAATGTGCGTGTATAGATATACTGTAGAGCCAGGAATTTCTCAGTAATTTTTCTAGGTGTTTATGTCCTGTGGTGTAATGGTTAGCACTTCGGACTCTGAATACGATTAATTATATAGTTGCCATAGTTAATAGCTATAGTTGCATATAATTTACAAAAGTATGACAACAAGAGCCTCACCAGAGAGTTGAACTCTGGACCCCTTGCGCCGGTTGTTCGAAAGGTGTGGATAAGTCGCTATCCAACGGATAAGTCGCTATCCAACGAATAAGTTTTATCCAGCGTGTGATTTGCGTTGCACGAAGCTTGGATAACTTTATCCAGCGGATAAAAATCGCTATCTACCGGATAAATTTATCCAAGGTCCGGAGGTGGTTTAAAGCCACTATCCAGTGGATAAATTCAAAGATACAAGGTAACACTGTAAACATTTATATAAAATAGGAATAAAATGCCATATTCCTGTTACTGTGTTTCAACAAACTAATACACATCATGATTGTATTCACTATTAAAAATGTTTTCGAAGTGCAATTTGTCGCAGCAGCGTTTCACGTTGCCTACACTTTCCGTTCCGAGCGGCGATTTTTTGGAGATCCTCGCATTTATAACAGGCGGTAAATTTACTATACGCTTCTAATCAGTTTATAAACGCGAATATGCAAAGAAAGATTCAACCTATTCCAAGGAAACTTGCTAATATCTAAGTAATTTCATTCACGAACATTAAAATAGTGTTCCTAAATTTGCTATGGAACCGAAAGGCAAAGCGTTGCAAGGTCAAGGAATAAAATTGCAATGTGTTTGATTAATAAAATCACTATGATGTGAAGTGCAAAGTTCGATTAAATCACTTGTTCAAGTCTTTTCCATTCAGTAATTATACTCGAGAATTCGTAATGATTATGAATTCAATGTTGTAAATGCTTAGCAACAGCTGACGTTGTGGTACGAAATTTCAGGATAATCCTGTTTTCTTCCGGTAGATTTTACCTTATCTATTGGATAGCTATCCACTTCACTATCCACGCTTCGTGCAACGCGTTTTTATCCAATGGATAACTATCCACTAGATAGCAGATTTATCCGTTGGATAGGACTTATCTGTTGGATAAGTTATCCATCTTTCGAACAACCGGCCCCTGGTTTACAAGACCAGTGCTCTAACCACTGAGCTAATGAAGCGCACGTACAAGCTAACGCGAATATTGTTGCTTAATCTTATAATGTGCACGCATCAAATTATGCTTCACAGGGTGTATAAAAAAAAGGTAATCCAACTTTGGGGCGCTATTGTACGTGAACTACTCATTCCAGCAAATGAATTTTTTTCACATTCGGAAAGGTTAGGCTTTTAGTTAACTATCGAATGACATGTTTTTAATACCAAATGATGAAAAAATGAGCAAATAGGAGGCTGATAAAAAGTGTTAGTCAAAATCCCATATTCTCACCTCTGAGAGTTGGGACTAAAACCATTAAAAATAAACTCCCTTTAGGACTTAATTGAAGAATTTTGCTTCCGAATAAACTACCCGCCAATGCATGGTAAGTAGGAATAAATCACATCAGGAGAACATTCCAAGCAATGCGGCGTCGATGTTAACTCTATCGATATAGAGATGGTGGTCAAGTTGAAGGCATGACGCATAATCTCTTTTTAAAAGTGTAAATGTAAATAATCGCAATAAACATGTTGTAAAACAAGTGCAAGCTGTAACATGTTCGTGATTAATTGTTTTTGTTCTTTTGTTATGCACTGCTTTGATTAGGCTCAAAGGTGAAAATATGCGATTGTGACTAAAGTTTTTTATCAGCCTCGTATGTTTTCATTTTTCACAATTTGGTATTAAAAGCATATCTTTTGATAGATAGAAGCCAAAGGAGATTGGACAAGCGATTAGAAAGTTGTAACGTGAGCTCTCGACCAATGAGATCACCCTATTTTCGCCCTATTTTCGGGTGGGCGACAAAAAATACCCTTAGGCATATTGTGTTGTTCTCCTCCACGGCAACCTTTAGTAAAAGGCGAAAGATTTTTTTGTAGGAGAACCAAGGCTTGGAAACTTCAGTGCTTGTCAGTGCTGTATAAACGAAATAGTTTCACTTTTGGAACACGGTAGTCACGGAAGTGCGCGCAATGTTATCAATTGTGACGAATATTATTGTTTTTATAATTAGCAGTTGCTCAATCAGTTGTGGGGTGTCGTTTGATATTTTGGCGTGATCAATAGCCTTCTGCCAAGAAAGCAGCATTGGGAATCCGGATTACGCCAGCTGTTGATCTCGCACACTTTTTGATCTCGCACACTTTTGATAAACACCCGCCTGGAAAATCCGGCGGGCGACAAAAAATACCCTTAGGCCCATTGTGTTGTTCTCCTCCACGGAAATCTTTAGTAAAAGGCGAAAGATTTTTTCGTGTAAATGAAGAAGAACCAAGGCTTGGAAACTTGGGTTTTTGTCAATGCTGTATAAACGAAATAGTTTCTCTTTTGGGACACGGTAATCACGGAAGTGCGCGCGCAATGTTATCAATTGTGACGAATATAATTGTTTTTTTAATTCGCAGTTGCTCAATCAATTGTGGGGTGTCGTTTGATATTTTGGCGTGATCAATAGCCTTCTGCAAAGAAAGGAGCATTGGGAATCCGGATTACGCCGACTGTTGATCTCGTACACTTTTGATAAACA